AGCCGGGCTGATGGCTGAGTGGTGTGATGTGCCCAGTGTGGGTACTCCGGGCACTCCAAGCCAGGACTGCTTTGCAAGCGGGGCACCCCTGAGAACTGTCTGTCCGGAGTGGGGGTCGGGACCCTTTAAGCACAGCCCTTGGCTAGCCTGAGACAGCATCTCCACGCTCTAAGTCCTCCTCTGATGCCCTGCCGGCACTGCTTCCGGCCATCCTTAAGCCCGGTTCAGGGTCCACTTAATGTGGACATGCTAGTTCGAATTAGCAAAACGCTAATTCGAACTAGTTTTTTAGTCTGGATCCGTTAGTTCGAATTATCTTAGTTCGAATTAACTAATTCGAACTAAGTTAGTTCGAATTAACATTGTAGTGCAGACATACCCCTTTAGACTAATATCCCAAGGGAAACTGGAATGAGGTGGAAGCCTTGTTTCTTCAGCAATTTTAAATTAGACTGGCCAAGTTGTTCAAAAATAAAGAGCTAGGGCACAATCCTGAAATGTCAGAATGTGCAGTGAAGAACATATAGGTCTCTGCCACTTCTGAAGGTTTAGCCTTTATGGGAAGAAAGGGCTGACTTGCTCAGGGTTCAAATTTGGATGGGTCATAAAAGGTCACCAACCTTGTCCCTTTTTTTCTTGAGACAGCCACGTGGTTCTTTACTTTTTTGTTTTAAAAGTAAGTTTTGAACTCTTATGGCTATGGAGAGTAAGCTAATGGGATATCTGAACCCTACCAAGGAGTGATCCTACATAGCCCATCAAGACAACCAAGCCTCCTTGACGACTAACCATGCATCTTTTCCCTTCTCACAGCTGAGAAGGCCTAACCCGGTCAGGAGTATGAGCCTGAGGCCAAATGGCTGTCCCTCTTACTCCAAGCACTGCTTGTCTTCCCCCTGCTGGACCCCGTGTGCAGACCCAGGCAGACATTTTTGAATACTAATGAGACTGACAAATATTTGCTCCCCACAGGTACTTATAGACTTCAACAAGTAACCCAAGTACCTCTGTTTTCTTTCCAAATCGGGCCTCAGACACTGTGATATATAAAAGCGCAGGGCCTCCCAAAATCATGAATTCCATGTCTCACCATCACAAATTGAAAACTCTCCATGACTCACTTGGTATTTGTTCTGGTTGTAGGGTATGGTAGCTATTTTAGGCTACCAGCTGGACCATCCTTGTAGACAGGTCAAAAATTACAAGGGAGAGCCTCTGACTCTTGTGGTCTTTAGTTTGTGAGGGTGTCAGTTCAGCAAGTCTCAACTAGACCTCTAGTTTTGATTTTTAATGTTAGAGATGGATGGTTAGAGAGTGTGTGGGATGCAAGAACTGGATACAGATATTAGCCAGTGGCCCGTTGGTCTTTCTGTAGGTTGCATGACTAGCTAATTTGGTAGGGTCAGGTTTACATACTTGTGCCTCATAAGTTGCTAAATGAAATACTAGGATAGATGGCATGTAAAAATTGCTTCATAAACTCTGCAAATAGTATCACAGAAAACCAATAAAAAAAATGTTCAAGTGTTTGCTGATGTCATCACTGACATTTACATATTCACAAAAGCAAGAATAGAAACCACAATCTTTTCTTCCACTGCTCTGAGGTTTTCATTGCAATTTTCTTTAAACTTTCTGTGATGCAATTTATTAAGAAATAAGATTTGGAAAATCAGACTATTTAAAACCACTTTCAAATCTATAAGAATGTACTATTTATAGGGCACCTAACTGTTAGGGTTAGCCTTTAGAAACAATCTCTGGGCTGAGTGAGATGAACTATATTAAAGATTTTCAAAAGCTCAAATTAGTGTTTGATGCCTTACTGCCTTTAGGCCCTTTGGAAATCTTCCCTCTTATCCTACAGGCAAAGAAGAGTTTCTTTCCCTCGTGAACCTTTTAACTTGGCATTTCGGTCTCTTTAGAAAACAGTAAAGACCCCAGATCTATCAAAAGACATAAAACAAGAAAACAGGGAGAGTGTGAGGAGAATAAGTAAGGAGCTTCATCCTGGATTTAGCAGTGACTGCCTTTTACAGGTGCAAGCTGCAGCTAATGAAACCTGCCCTGCTGTAGGCAGACTGCTAGCACAATCTGTGTTTCAGGAGAGGGAAGAAAAGCTCCCCTTAACTGGTAGAATGACTGAAAGCTAGATAAACAGGCATAGTCATTTCCACCCAGAGTTTCTTCTATAGGTAAAACAGCTTTGGGGGCAGGAGGAAAGAAAATCTAATTAGCACATTTTAAAGGCGTTTTAGTGAGGAAAGTAACTGGGTAAAAACAATACGTTATCATTTCCCACTTCAGGTCATTGTGCTGACAAAGAGAAGCTTTTACTAATGACAGAGCTAAGATAGATAGGGCAGAATGACCTGGGTATCATGTCAACAAAAGCGTCAACTTAAACCCAAGTTCAAATCCTTCATTTCTGGAAGAAAGGTAAGAGGCAGAGAGGCCACAGATTGGATTTTAGATTTTAGGCTGGGCCTGGCAATCAGAAAAATGCCTTCTCTCATATTTGACTTGCAATTAATTTGAAAGAATATTCACCATGGGAAAATATGGATCCGTAAAATATCATTTGTGTAAAGCCAACTCTGACTACCATTGCAACTTAAATTTATAATGATACCACAATAAACGAAGGGCAAAGGACAGAGTTCAGGACAGAAATACGGAATTTAAAAAGGAAGTGTTCCATTAGTAGCTACAAGACCCGCAACTGTTAGAGGCTAAATTCTCCTTCCAGCTCATCATTGCCTGAAAGGGAAATATGAAAAAAAAATAGGAGACATGCAGAGTCAAATTTTCCCACAGTAGTCAAATTTCCACACAACCTGGAACAGGACAGTCTTTCACTGCTCAGCAGTTCAAATGTAGCTCAGACACCAAAATGTATTATCTTCTGAAGGCTGTTCAGTAGCCTGCCTGAAATGAATTTGTGCTTGTAATCCAGCTCCTAGCAAGCTAATTGGTCTCACTGCTAGTAGTCTTGACAGAAGGGCCAAAGAAACAACTAGCTTGCTGCTTCCACCTTCAAGGAACAAGAGAGAGAACACTTCCTCCTGCTTTCCTCAACCCAGGAGCAAGAAGAGAAACCAAAAAGCAAGAATACTCAGCAACTCCGGGATAGGTGAAGCCATATGTGCCCCTTCCTTCACCTGTACAGACTTTCATTAACAGGGCCATGGCCCAGCTTTAAACACTGTCTATTTGGGGAGGGAAAGGCATTGGTTTGTTTTTTACCCTTTCCTCACAGTCTGCCTTTTGTAGTCTCAGCAGCAGCAGCATGTTCCTGCTAATTACTCGGTCACTCTTTTACTGCAGATCTTCTAAAATAATTAATCCTAGTCTGAGCCAGAAGGAATGATGAGCAGGCCCCTGCTGACCAAAAGCATGTACCAGAACACTACAATCTACAATGGTTGCAATGTCATGAAATTATTTCCCAGTGGAAATGGCTCACTGATGTTGCATGTGCTATATTCTCTAAAACCCAGTCATTGCTTAACCTTGCCGTGGCAATAAATCTGTATCACTGCTGTGATGTCTTCCCTCAAGAATTCAGCTCTTCTCCTTTGTGATATAAGCTGGTTACTCCTAACTTGGATATCTGGCAATGAAACTGTGCCAGCTATCTCCAAATGACTCCATTACCACATATTATAGTAACTGAATCATCTACCAAGTTACCAAAAGGAGAGGCCAGACCTTTCCTAAGTTTGCATATATTTGCATTTTATATTTGGCAGCAGTTTATAAAATAGGAAAGATTCACTTACCTGATGGGATAACCTGTATCACCTTTTCCCATATTCCATCTGCAAACGTTATGGAGCAGAAATAAAAGCCCATGTCTGCTTCAGTGGTCTTGATGAAGTTTAGCGACTTGCCTTTTGAGGAAGCATTTATAAAGCGAACTCTGTCTTTATATTGGTCTTGAATATACACACCATACCTCGGGTGGAAAACAGCAATGGTTTCTTTGTCAGTGGCAATACTCTTAACCCAGGACATCTGGGTTATATTGGCTGTCTTTGGATATATGCATTCCAGATTCATATTACTGGTAAGTTTGACAGTTGAATCCACAAATCTTCCTTCCACTGTAGCTGAAACATCACATACAAACACAGCCATAGCATTAACTTGTATTGTGTATTAAACTTGCACAGACTTAGCGTTAACTGTATTAAACTTTCAAAGTACAACTAGCTAGCTAACATTTTAAGATCAAGCAAAATAATGTAGACAATGAAAAGCCTGGCAGCACAAGAATAAGCCCAGTAAACGCCTTATGGGTATTATTACTTGTATCTATTAGTTTTTCTGAATGGTTTCAGATTATCTAAGCCACACAGAAATACTGTTGAAGTCTGATTCTGTCTCTCCCAAAAGAAAAAAAACAGCACACTTTGTTAAAGCAAAAGAAAATAGTCTTACTTTCATAAAAATGGAGAATAAGAAGAAGGCGGGCAAGATAGTCCATCTCTGTGTACACTGGAGTAGATTAGTATGTGATACAGCTTTATTCAGACTCCTTTCACCGTATGCTATTTCCTAATCAACTGTTACCATTGAAATCTTTACTTTTGAAATGAGACACATGAAAGAAACAATGTGTTTTTACTGTCTCATAAACAATAGCCCCATCTATAGGCAATCAGGTTCATAGTACAGTTCAGCTATTTACATCAGATGCACTAAATATCTGTCAAAAGTCACTGGAACAAAAGCTCCCAATCTGGAAAGAACTTTAAAAATATGGATGATTATGATGATGATTGACTTATATGAGGCAGTGGCTCCCAGTCTTTTCAGACTACTATACCCCTTTCAGGAGTCTGATTTTCTTGTAACCCCACCCAAACAAGTTACACTTCACTTAAAAATTAATTGCTTACAAATAGCAGACATAAGAATACAAAAAAATCCACAGCACATCATTACTGATATCATTACTTACTCTCTAATTTTACTATTAAAAAATAAATAAAATAGAATATAAACATGGTATATGTATGTCTGTGTATAGACTATAGAGCTGTATAAACAAATCATCTGTATGAAATTTTAGTTTGTGCTGACTTCACTAGTGCTTTTTATGTAGTCTGTTGTGAAACTAGAGAAATACATAAATGAGCTTATATACCCCTTAGAAGACCTCTGTATACCTTAAGGGGTTCATGGACCCTGGTTGAGAGCCATTAATATAGGGATCCTTAATTTTCATCTATGAAGGCTAATAACATTCCTACTGTAGCCAAATAAAAAAGACGGTTACTTATCTCGTAACTGTTGTTTTTTGAGATGTGTTGCTTATGTCCCCTGGAATGGCGCCGGTATGTCCTAGCATATAACCCCCTGCTGGCCCTCCACCGCCTCAGTTCCTTCTTGCCAGAGATTCCAATGAAGGTGGAAGTGGGCGGGATCGGATTGGACATAAGCAACACATTTCAAAAGAACAACAGTTACAAGGTAGGTAACCATCTTTTCTTCTTCGAGTGTTTGCTTATGTCCATTCCATCTAGGTGATTCCAAGCAAACCCCTACGGAGGTATCTAGGTGATTCCAAGCAAACCCCTAAGGAGATGGGGTCGGAACCTAGAGCGAAACAGACTGCAGCACTGCCTAACCTACCGCTGTGTCCTGACTAGCTGGTTGCGTGATGGCATAATGCTTGGTGAAGGTGTGGACTGAGGACTAGGTGGCTGCCTTGCATATGTCCACGACCAGCACCTGGGCTAGGAAGGCTGAGGAGGAGGCCTGGGCCCTAGTCGAGTGGGCCATGATAGGAGGGAATACCCTCCATCTAAGATCGTAACAGGTCTTGATACATGGTGTAATCCATGACAAAAGACACTGAGCTGATCCTGGGGAACCCTCTATCCTGTCTGCTATGAAGACAAACAACTGAGTGGACTTGCGAAACGACTACGTCCTGTCTAAATAAAAGGCGAGAGCCCTCCTAACATCCAGTGAGTGGAGTGCCCTCTCTTTCTTATCCGCATGCAGCTTTGGATAGAACACTAGCAGGAAAATCTCCTGGGACGTGTGGAACAGGGAAACTACCTTAGGGAGGAAAGCCAGGTGAGGGTGCATTGTCACCTTGTCACTTGAAATCACTGTGTACGGAGGCTCTGAGGAGAGGGCCCGCAGCTTAGAAACCCTCCTGGCTGAGGTAATGGCCACCAGAAACACTACCTTCCATGAGAGGTGGGAGAGAGAACATGTATCCAATGGCTTGAACAGTGGGCGCATGAGCCCCCGCAGCAACAGGTTCAAATCCCACTGCGGCACTGGTCGATGCATGTGGGGGGAAACCTGTCCAATCCCTTCAGGAAGCGTTTCACCATATCCTGCGCAAAGAGCAACCTCCTGCCCTCCGCCTGGTGGAAGGCTGTAATGGCCACCAGGTGTACCCTAATTGATGAGGTGGACAGCCCCTAGCCCCAGAGGTTGAGACGGTAGTCCAAAATAAGGGGAATAGGGGCCCTTTCTGGGACACCCCTTTCTGACTGATCCAAATAGAAAACCTCTTCCATTTGGCTAGGTAGAAGGATCTACCTTGGAGGGTTTCCTACTTTCCATGAGTATCTTCCTCACTGGGTCTGAGCAAAGGAGTTGCCACTGATCAGCCAAGCCTTGAGGTGGAGGGATTGGAGGTTCGGGTGGCACAGCCGACCCTGGTCAAGCTCCTGCATTAGCCTGGACCATCGGCAGGGGGACAGGATCAACGATCAACAGTGACACCAGAGTCGTGTACCAATGTTGTCAGGGCCAGTCTGGGCCTATGAGAATGAGCGTGACCCCACCTTTCCTGACCCTCATGAGCACACATTGTGGATCGGGGAAGGGAGGAAGGCGTATGGCAGGCCCACTGGCCATGTTCCCACGAGGGCATCTCCCATAGACCCCCTGCTTTGACCCCTGTAAGAAAAGAACCTGGGGCACTTTCTGTTGGTAAGATTCGCGAACAGATCTACTAGGGGAGTGTGCCACCTGCAGAAGAGGGGGTCTACCACCTTCCCCTTGAGCAACCATTCGTGAGCCAAAAAGGTCCGAGTGAGCCGATCCGCCAGAGTGTTGCATGACCCCGGCAGGTAAGTGGCCTGCAAATGAACCCCCTGCACAATGCACAGGTCCCAGAGGGATAGTGGCTCCTGGCACAGGGGAGAGGAATGAACACCACCTTGACAGCTATGTAGTACATCACCATCGTGTTGTCCGGGAGAACGGACACAAACTACCTCTGTAGCTGGGGCATAAATGTTCGACAAGCCAGCCAAACCACCCTCAACTCCCTGACATTGATGTACAGGTTCCTTTCTGCCCCCGACCACATACATTGTGTATGAAGATCTGCCAGATGGGCACCCCATCCTGTGTCGGACGCATCAGTCACCAGCTGGACCGTGGGAGACGGGTGGTGGTACAGGACCCCTTTGCATACTTCGGAGTCCCTCAGTCTCTAGTTCAGGGTCGATAGGATCACTGGAGGAACTGTCACCACCAGGTCGATATGGTCACGGGCTGGCCTATACACCATCGCCAGCCAGTTCTGGAGAGGCCTGAGGTGGAACCTGGCATACCGCACCACATACATGCATGCCACTTTGTGACCCAAAAGCCTCATGCAGTTCCGCATTGTGTTCATGGGGGCAGCCTGGAGGTCGCGAATGATGTCACCCCACACAGGGATAGGAACCGTGGACATGGGAGGGATGCCCTGCCACACGTTGCATCCAAACGTGCCCCCACAAACTTTATCACTTGGGTCGGAGTAAGGACGTTCAATATCAGTCCCAACTCCGAGAATGTTGATATGGGATATGGGACAGTAACTGGTCCATGGACTGGCCCCTGAGCAGCCAGTCATCTAAGTAGGGATACACATGCAGACTTCTCCTTCAAAGGAATGCTGCCACTACCACCATGCACTTGGTGAACACCTTGGGCACTGTGGAGAGGCCAAACGGCTGCACCGCAAACTGGTAATGGTCCTCTCCCACCATAAACTGAAGGTATTTCCTGTGGTGGGGAACAATGGAGAGTTGGAAGTATGCATCCTTCAAATCAAGGGCGGCACACCAGTCTCTTAGATCGAGGGAGGGGATGATGGAGGTTAGCATCACCATCCTGAATTTTGACTCTCTTAAGAAGGTGTTGAGCCCCCTTAGGTCTAGGATCGGGTGGAGACCCCCCCCCCCTTGGATTTTGGGACCAGGAAGCAGTGGGAATAAAAGCCACTTCCCTGGAGAGACAGGGGGACCTCCTCTACCACCCCTAGAGAAAGTAGCATGGAGATCTCCTGCCTGAGCAGGATCTCGTGAGAGGGGTCCCTGAAGAGGGATGGGAGGGCAGAGAAGAAAGGAATGGGATAGAGTATCCCCTCTGTACCGTGTCCAGTACCCAATGGTCTGTGGTGATAGTACACCAGGGCCAGTAAAAGGGGGATAAGCCTCTGGCAGAAGAGTCAGTCTATGGGAGCGACTGGAACTCCGTCCTTAGGCGCACCTTCAAAAGCCAATCCTAGGCCCCTGGACTTATTGGAGGGTCTGAGGTTCTGGTCGGGGGACCCCGCAATCTCCTCCTATTCCCCCTGGCTGTGGGAGCACTAGATCTCCTATTATCAAACCATGGCCCTTGCTGATAACCTCTCTCTGGCCTCTGGTTGAGTGGACACCACTGTGGAGCCAGGGTATAGATGCCCAGGGATTTTAGAGTGGCCCTGGAGTCTTTAAGGGTGTGTAGCTTGTCATCTGTTTGCTTCGAGAACAACCCGGAGCCCTCGAAGGGGAGGTCCTGCAACGTCACCTGGACCTCCTGCAGTATGCCAGAGATCTGGAGCCACGAGCACCTACGCATAACAATGCCTGTGGCCATGGCCCAAGCTGCCGATTCCGCTGCATCCAGGGCAGCCTGCAGCGCTGTTCGCGCAACTGTTCTTCCTTCCTCCATAAAGGCGGCAAACTCCTGCTGGGAAGCTTGGGGCAGCTGGTCCTTGTATTTGTCCACTGCCACCCAAGAATTGTACACATAACCTGATAACCTCTCTCTGGCCTCTGGTTGAGTGGACACCACTGTGGAGCCAGGGTATAGATGCCCAGGGATTTTAGAGTGGCCCTGGAGTCTTTAAGGGTGTGTAGCTTGTCATCTGTTTGCTTCGAGAACAACCCGGAGCCCTCGAAGGGGAGGTCCTGCAACGTCACCTGGACCTCCTGCAGTATGCCAGAGATCTGGAGCCACGAGCACCTACGCATAACAATGCCTGTGGCCATGGCCCAAGCTGCCGATTCCGCTCCTCAACAAAGGCGGCAAACTCCCACTGGGAAGCTTGAGGCAGCTGGTCCTTGAATTTGTCCACAGCCACCCAAGAATTATACAGATAATGGCTGAGCATCGCTTGCTGGTTTGCGATCCTCAGTTGCAGGCCCGCCGTAGCATATGCCTTCCGCCCCAGCAGGTCCAACTTCTTTAGCTCCTTACTCTTTGGAGCAGGGCCCCACTGCTGCTGCCTCTCCCTCTGGCAAGCCACCTGAACCACTGCTGAGCCACCACTCGGTGGTGGATGTGCGAAGAGATGCTCATGCCCGGATTGGGGCACGAAATACCTCCTCTCAA